TACTAGCACTGGGGCCTGCTTCTTCAAATGTAGCCCAGAGGGAATCCAGGAGCAATTGAAGAATGTTTTCTATTCCTCTCATTATCTGCCAACATTGTAAAAATTATGCACTATTTTTGCATAATATTTCTGTTTGAAAAAAAATGCTACTCTGTTTCACTTCCTTTAAAGTTATAACACTACTTAAGGTCAAAACTGGTTCAAACATTGTTACTGACAAGTGAGCATGGACTCAAACAGTTTTTGTAGTGTGGAATATCATTTGAAAAATGCCTCTTTAGCAGTTGAAGGGGAAGAAAGACAAAGGAGAAAATGCAAATAACTTCAAGACTTGCAATAGACATCCAGTATTTGAAACAAAGAGAATGGCCTAAGGAACATGTTATCTGTACAAAATGACAAGAAGGTATATTTCTCTTTCTATCACTAGTAGCTAAATTGTGGTTAAGGTAAATCAACTGAGAAATGGGTTTTGTCATGCAAACCTGGTATGTTTTATTAGTAAAATTACAAAACATTTAAATAGATATTATTTTTATAAAGGCCACAATATCTATTGATATTGAGATAATAATTAGGAAAGGCTGTCAGTGCTTTGCTGAAATAGAACAAAATGTCTCTTTCTCATAGGGATTCAATTATTATTTGATCCCTCCCCAAGAAACTGTCTCTTCTTAGGAACTTGTTAATTAATAGTTTAATTCAGACTGTGATTTTGGGGATGCATCACTGATAAAAAAAAGATGAAGCTATCTTCTCAATACGTGCCATGACAACATGCAGTGTATCTTCAGCTCTGAGAAGCTTTTTTTTTTTTTAAGAAAAGGAGATTGATTTCTTTGCAGCTCTTCTGCTATTTAGAACTAAATGTGTGTATAGGGAGAGAGGTGTTCCTATGTATTCTACCTTTTTTTTTTTTTCTTAAGAAGTATCAATTGGGTAGATAAAGAGAGACCTTCTGCAGAATGGTGCATAGGCTTAAGGCTAGAATGCTGTATTCTGCATTAGTTGCTGGGGCTGATTAAGGAGTTGTTATATACCCTAATCACCTGGGTGATGTACCTTCCCCTCTACTTAACCTAACTCAGTTAATTTTCGAATAAATGGCCAAACATGAGAGGGTTTAATACAAAGTTAATGATGTCCTGATGACATGGACATTTAATTTTCTAATTTTACTGTGGTGGAATTGGTCATTAGTTTTCAATGAAAGGTGGGTGTGGGTGCAGCTATGCAGTGGATGTGGACTATGCAGCTGGAAGTCAATACAGAATTAGACAAACACACATGATTAGGAGAAGGAGCTGGGATTATTGGCAGAAGACACTAACTGTGGCAGGTTGCTTGAGCTGAGTTGCTAAGACTGCATCTGGAAAACCAGAAACAAATACATATCAAATATCTGATTTTCTCTTGGTTAATTGTTTATTGTAAAACTTTTGATGTCACGATTCATGTGTTTGTGCATGAGGCTGGGATTTCTGCACTGGACAGTGCATAAGCTTAAATTTTGGAACAAATCAGAATTTGCTGCTAAGGCAGAGTGAAATGTCCCATTGTCAAACAGTATTTCAGACTGAGAGGATGTTGCTCTTCTGTTCTACTATTTGCAACCATTGAGTGATCTGTAGGTGAAGCTAAAAGAATTATTTAAAATACGCAAATTAATTTAAAAGCACAAATACAGGTTGGGCATAATGGATTGAGAACAGCCCTGAGGAAGAGGACTTGGTTATGTTGGTTGATGAGAAGCTCAACATGAGCTGGCAATTTGTCTCTTGCAGACCAGAAATTCAACTGTGTCCTAGCCAGCATCAAAAGAAGTGTGGCCAGTATCTGAAGGGGCCTACAGGAAAGCTGGGGAAGGACTTCTTAGAAGCCTGTAGTGACAGAACAAGGGGAAATGGCTTTAAACTGGAAGATTTATGTTGGACATTAGAAATAAATTCTTTAGTGTGAGAGGGGTGAGATATTGCAACAGGTTGCCCAGGGAAGCTGTAGATGCCCCTTCCCTGGAAATGTTCAAGAGCAGGTTGGATGGGGCTTTGAGCAACATGGTCTAGTAGGATGTGTCTCTGATCATGCAGGGGGGTTGAAACTAGAAGTTCTTTAAGGTCCTTTCCAACACAAACCATTTTATGATGCTATGAAAAAAAAAGTATTAGTCTTGGACACTACACAGACCATTGTTTATTATTTTTTTTTATTCTGCAGTGGTCATTTTCCTGAGGTGCTTGAACAAAGGATACTCTTGTTTAAAGAGGAATTGGTAACAATGAGTTATCTGAATGATCTTCCAGGTCTTTTCTAACCTGAATGATTCTATGATTCTGTGATTCTCAAACTTGATAGCTTGAGAGACACACCGCTAGGCTTGCCTGTTTTCCACTTTTCTTAATGGAAAAAGGAACAGCACCTATGATTGGAATAGAATTCAATCTGCATTTAAGGAGTGTATTTCTTTTCCAGTTGTTTTATCCAGTTGTATTTCTGATGTGCTGCTAACTGCTGTCTGTGCATTAGTATTTGTAATGTGCTTGAGATTTTCATACTTATTCTGTTTCTACCTGCACTGCTGTCCCTAAGTCATGCATAGTAAAAAATTATTACATGCAGATGAGGATATACTTTTGTACATGTAAGTGTAAGCTTAACTTTTTGAGAGGCTATTTTAGAAAATGGTCAAGGAATGGTAACTACTCTGTGAAACATCAGATATGGATCTGTCTGGTAAATCAATGGACACTTGTTTATAGTTCATGCTAATTATATGTATATCTTCTAAATTACATCTTTGGGAGGCAAAAAGTATTCATTCATTCAAGAATCTCGTCTTTTTTGCACACACTATAATTTAAAAGGAACATGCCTGATTATGACCTTTCATATAAGGAGAAAGAACAAACATAGTGTAATTTAGGAGAGTTGCAAACAGGTAAATCAACAGTTTATTTTGTTTTTCAGTTTCCTTCTATTTTGAATGAATCCCATTTTCAAATATTATTGCTTGTTGCCTCACCCTGATATCAGTGACAGAGAAGAACTAAATAATTACTAGTTAAGTATTTGGGGCTTTTTCTTCCTCTTTCATTTTTTAATTTGTTCTATACCAGCTGTGAAATTTCAAAGACAGAAATTGCCTCTATCTGTGTGGTTTTGTGGTTTCCGTAATCAATGAAATCTCAGTGTTACACTAAACATCTTTCAGGAAGGCATCAATACCCATTGCTTTAGAACTAGTCTCTCTTTCCTCCCGTTCAATTATTGTGGCTCTTGAACAAAAAATTCTGTTAATCTCTTGAAAATACTTGGTTTTAAAATGCCCGTGTTACTGGTCAGTTTGAACCTGCTGCTGCCACTCTTATCAGTTCTTTGCCATTTTCATGAATTATAATCAGAATTTTAGTATTAAAAAAACTAATAAATTGGTTTAAAACTATTCAGTCTTCAAATATTAAAAATATTCTTGGTTTTTAATAACTACCTGCAAGGAATTCCTTGAAACCTTTCTGATAAATTGTGTCATGGTTAAATATGTAATTACTGGCAGAAAAGTAACCATTGTTAGAGCAAATACTCATATCTCACTTTTAGAGTGATGTTTATTCAAGGTCATTACAAGTTTCTGCAGAAGGAAAGCAAATGAAAGGCTTGAAATTCAAAATTACACTCTTGAATTTTATTCAATTATTTTTTTTTTTAATTATTTTTTTTTTCAAATATATTGACATACACACAAAAAACCTCAAACTACATTTAAAATATTTGGAATACTTTTTTGCTTCATATTAAAAAACAATGAACAAGCCTAAGACTATTTTTCTTTTTAACTTTGGAATTGAAAGTAAACAGCAAATGCCATTTGTCATCCAGCAATGTGGACAAGTTTTTCATCCTGATTCATCTCAGCTTTGCTTTTCTAAGGAAATATAATCTTAGTGTGGTACCAGTTGACTAGAGATGAGCTTAAAGGTACTGGGCTGTTCTGAGGATGGCATGACCAATGTTCTTAGGCATAGAAACTGTAATATAAAGCTCTTGTGATTGCATACGTGTTCTTGAAGTCCAAGAAACAGAACCCAAGCATCAGCAGGACATCAATCTTTTATTACTTTTTTTTGTTAAAAAAAGAAAAAAAAATTTTTTTTTTTTTTTTTTTTTTTTTTAATAACATGAAAACACTCTACTAAGTTTGAATAGGTAAACAAAAAGGCAGAATGAAAAAAAAATGTATATAGAAAAGAAAGATATTTTACAGTGCATGTATGTTAACTTTAACCTTTCACAACTATGTTAGATCAATACTTTTAATAGTCTTATCTATTAACATGCATCCAGGAAGTTGGAGTATTCAGGCTGGGTATGAAAGTTCAGCTTTGCTTTCTCATAATATTCTGTAATGCATGATTAGAGTCCACTCAATAAAACATGTTTATAGGAAATTAATTTGAAGTGAAAACATAGTATTGCATTTAGAAGCTTTGGATAAAGTGGAAACTTTCAGAAAGTTTTACAATTATTTTTAAACTTCCATGGTTCCCTAGGCAAGGTTTACATAAACTAGTGATAGATATTAATATAACACTTTTTTTCTTTGCCCCAAAGTGAGGGAATTACATGAATGTTTAAACACAATACATTGTTAATATTTGATGGGGATTTTAATACATTAATCTATTTACAAAGGTACCCTCTTCATTGGTAGTGCGATATTCTACTTTAAATGTTGTGGAGTGTATTTTTCCTGATACAGGGGGTGTTGATTATTTTGGTGTTTGTAAACAGGTCATTTTTCAGCATCTGCTTTTCGTTGATGGTTTGCAATGAGAATGATTACAGTAGCTTCACTTCATGGTGGAACATCATGATTGATGCTATATAAAGGAGAACATGGAAGCTCCTAATGACTTTAATGGTGTTTATTTCTTTGCAGAATTTCTTTTCATTTTCTTAAAACAACGGGGACATTACTGATTGTATAACCTTGTCTCCTGTCTCAGATCTCCTAGAAACCCTGAACAGAAGATCATTAAACGAGTGATTGCTCTTGAAGGAGACATTATCAAGTAAGTATTTTAAGCCTTAGTCTCTGAGACTTTATAGGAATTGTGCAGGTTTTCAGTGGATTTTAAATCAGTATCCTAGACAACGAGAACTTTCTAGTATTTTCTTTCTATCTATTCTTAACAGGGATGTCAGCATTGTACCTGTCTCCTTTTTAATGAGAAGAGAAATGCTACACAAAACTGCTCACTCTCTCACAAAGGGTACATAGGTGCAAATAAAACTTGTTTCTTCGAACATCTTTGCCATGTATCAAGGCAGGTAATTGTATGGCATTTTTTCAATAACATTATAGGGCTGTGATTTTTCATTACAGAGTCCAGTTGCTGTTTTCATGCTATGGTTGGCAAATACAAGTAGGGTTTTTTTAGGGGGAGTCATTTCTGTTTCACGTTTGGGGGTTTTCTTATATTTGATTTATTTTATTATATTTTATTTTTGAGACACAGAACCCTCATAAATGACTGCCTTCACTGCAGTGTTTTAGAATCTAAAGGGAATATGGTAGGACTGCTTTGGAGTAAATAATTCTATAAAAAAAAATTGTAGCAAGAGTAGACTCTAGAGAACTTCAAGACTTGGTTTACTCTGACAGACCTTCGTACTGGGGCTGGCTGGAAATAAATTACTAGTAGATGTAAATCAAAAGTTTTTGTGGGAACAGTATTATTGTGATGAAAATGCTTGTTTGAAATGATTTCTTTGTCCCAGATACAGACTACAACTGGCATAGAGCTGGGAGGGTAAATCCCTAGTTTCCCACACTAAGATATAAATGACCCTGAGAGCTTTCAGACAGTATGTCAGACTGAAACTCAATTCATTTAGATAATGATTTTTGCTCTGGTGTAGTGAATACCTATGAAGTACTTGGCATCTGCAAATCAAATCAAGGATTTGAGAGTGCTCTCAATGAGCAGTACTGGTGGCCCGTTGGGCATTAGGAGATATATCTGGCTTTTTTTTTTTTTTTTCCCTTCCTTTTTTTTTTTACCTTTTGTAGTCAATTTAATCTTTGGTTTCTTGAAAAATTCCTAAGCAACTCAGTTTAAAAAAGATGGAAATAAATGCTGACTTTTCTGTTAAAACAAAATATCTGAAATGACAGAGACAAAGAAGATAATTTGATATCCAAAACCTATGGACATCTTCAGCTAAAATTAGCTATAAATTAAAATAACTGAAAACATAGGAATAGTATGGGCTACTGAGTGATGCCTTTTATAAAACTGTGTCCTTAAGAATGTACTTATTGTTTGATGTAGTTGATATTAGAGCTATGATTTATATAACTAAGACTGATTTTCATGATTCTGTATTCCTCATTCATTTCTGTAGCAATGTCAGAAAGACATATGCAGTCCTGAGTAATGTGATCTAGGCAATCCTGCTTTAGCAGGGGAGTTGGACTGGATGATGTCTAGAGGTCCCTTCCAACCCTGACAATTCCATGACTCCATGAACTTCAAGTGTTCCTTTTCACTGTTCTATATTATTAATGTTTGTATGAATTTTTAAAATTGAATGTAGTTTTTGATAACACAAAATATATTTAATAATTACATTCCACCTGTAGGAAATTAATTCTGCCGCACATTGAAATGCCATGAAACTTGGAACTTTTCATTAACTTCTGTGGGTGTTCTTGGCCAAATGGGCAAAGGTGTGGGGCATAATAGCTGTGAGAGTGTGTGCAGAATAGTAACGAGCCTGTAGGTCAGTGTATCATTCATGGGCACAGAAGACCGCACAATGATCCTAATTTATCTTTGGTAAAACATGTTAGATTAATTTATTGATAGAAATACTAATCTCAGTAATTCTGATGTGCATTTTTTTTCTATTGGAGCACATGAAAATTTCCCCAGAGCTTTTTGCTTTCACTGTAGAAACCACTTCTTAGTTAGAGACTGAATTATTGGACTATGATTAAGTTTTAAGTTTTTTATACACTTTATTGTCCCTTAATTGTATGTGTGTAGGAAATGTAAGTAATACTTGCCACTTTTCATACCACTAGGGCAAAGCAAAAACTTTGATATTAAGATAAAACAGCAAAGCTGGCAAGATTTTTCTAAAATATGTATTATTTTTGTAATGATACTGAAAACACATATGTGACTAGGATATTTGTGATTAAAACAGACAACTGGTAACTGAAAGGATGTATAGAAACCATAAAGATTTTGACTCCTATTTGTGTCTTAAGACAGTCTTTATTACAAACCAAAAAGAATTGGCTTTGATATCTTAAGATTCTATGTATTTTTATATATTGTATTATTCTGGATTGGCAGAATTCCCTCTTGCCAAGAAAACCTTCAGTCTCACTGCAGAGAAATTGTTTCAGTTCCAGGATACAGTAAAGTGGGAATAATCAGTTAGATATGCTGGAGTTCTACCATTTATGTGTGTGTTTGTGCATATAATGGTTTTGTGGAGAGGCAATGGTTTTATAGAGAGTTGTGTTGGCCGTTTTGTCTGGAAGGTCAATGAAATGTACAAAATCTATGTGTTGGTCTGTAAATTTTGCTTGATGTCATGTGCCAGAATGAATTAATACATGCTGTGAATGGTGAGGCGTCCAGAAATTGTGAGTTGGAAAGTATTTTCATGTAATGATTCAAGGGACAGGTGATAGACAATACGGTCTGTGAGTCTGTAGTTATGCTTTCATAGATGAATTAATTATCTTTATTCAATCTTTTTGGGGCATGATTAGGGATAGTTTTTCACAAGAATTCTGTTTTTCCTTATGTTATAAATTAAAATAAGTCTTACAGAAGAAATAGAATAGAATAGAATAGAATAGAATAGGATAGAATAGAATAGAATAGAGAATAAAGAATAGAGAAGAATAGTTCAGTTGAATGTGAGCTACATCTAGTCCAACTGCCTGACTGCTTCAGGGCTGACCAAAATTCAATGCATGTTAAAGGTATTGTTCAAATGCCTCCTAAGCACTGACAGGTTTGGAACTTCAACCACCTCTCTAGGAAGCCTGTTCCATACTTGACCACTCTCTCAGTAAAGCAATGCTTTCTAATGTCCAGTCTGAACCTTCCCTGGTGCAGCTTCTTCTTCCAAAGAATTTGAATAATAGACAGAAAATAACCAATTAGCCCTGGAGAATGGATTTATAGGTTATGTTGCATACAGTCAATATTGTAAAGTAGATCAGGTTTTGTTTTGTCTTCCTCAGATTCACAGAAGAATTGACTTCTAAGTAGGAAATAATTAAAATGGTTCCTGAAGACTGTTTAAATGATAATTCTTCCAAAGAAGGCCTTCTTTTAACAGTCAATATAATCTAATTTGTTAAAAATTACTGCTGATACTATAAAACACTTTGAATAACTTGAAAGTAAACTTATTAAAACTCCTTTTCTTAAATGCACTAGTGAAAAATCTATAGTAATCTATCACAGATGAGTTACGGCATGTTTTCAGTAGCACATAAATTAAGGTTTATCCGAAATAAAACAATATTAGAATTGGGATTAAACTTGTAATATTTAAAATTAAATCTGTTCAAACATTTACTGAATTAGTTTGTTTTCCTTCTGTCTGTCACAGTTGCACAGGTCAGCAGGAGCTTGGTGTGACAGTTCTGTTTCTTTCATTTAAATGTTTGCTTTTAAATAATGTGCCTAATTTAAGAATGGTATGTGAGCCCCAACAAAGAGTAAGTTTTAAAAGTTTTGTCCAGGGATTTTGCAAAGCTCTGTAGGAGTCAGTGTTGTGAGGAAAAATGTTTCAGCAAAACAATATTACATCGCATCTTGCAAAACTGCTCTGAAGACATGAATAAGGAAATAAACCTTGTTTCTTAGAGCATGACAATGCAGTGATAGATCCTTATATTATTAGGGTGATAGATCCTTATATTATTAGGGTGGAGATATAAACCAAAGTTCAATGACTTTTAAACTTTTACACAAGGTCCATCATTAAACTGCAAAAAATATTGCCATAGAATATTAGGAAGGTCAGAGATACCAAAGACTTCAAAAAAAGGAGTAGAGAATTAATAGAAATAAAGCCCATCAGCAGCTGTTACACGCAGAGATCACAGTATAACTTCATGCCTTTCTCTTGTAAAGTTCATGCAGATTGTTATGTCTTCCAGTCAAAGATCCCATTCCGCCTTAAGATATAACCAAAATATGGTCATTCTGTCCACTTACTGGAAAACCCTTTGAGCTTCAAACACTCTGTTTTTCTACTCCACCAGATGTTTGGTTGGTTTTGGTTGGTTGTGTTGTTTTTTTTCTCAGAGAGTAGTTCGAATGCAATATCCCTTCAGTGTGAAAAAGACAATCAACAAGTTTTCTTACTGTTTTGTTGTGTTGTTTTTTTTCACAGAACCAGCTCAATTTCATCAGGCAGTTGTAGCTGCTACTTGTTTTCACTGAGGGCCAAGGATGATTGTTCAACAAAACATCTATCTTTTTGCAGAAACTCTACTACTTGATAGTAGCTTGTGTTAGATTAGACAAAGTCCTCCTCAAAGTCTGTTGTCTTTGTGTTGTGTGTATAGATCTGTAAGCGGGGATCCGCATGAACAAGTGGGCTGGTGGAGATGACAGAAATGACAACTGGTAGTAGCCTGCTGAGGAACAGCACTGTTCTCAGAGATCGCAAATTTTGGAGCATCTTTCCTTTTGACTAATTGCAGGTTTCTTGTTCTGTCTTTGTGTTTCATGTATCTAAAGGATGTAGTAGCTGTCAAACTACCTCTTAGATGAAAAACTGCATCTTCCAAAATATTTTTATTTTGTGGCCATGTGCCCAGAATGCATATTTCATAGGGTTTATGCAGTTTATTTTGCTCTATTTATTGTTAGGTGCTGATGTGACATCTTTAAGCCAATGAAAGCTTTTGTTAGGTTCCAGCTATACTGCTCTGTCATGACTCTTCAGCATTACTTGTAGCCTTGCAAGTCTCCTAAATAAAGTTTCCATTGATTTTGATTCAATTTCCATACGCAGAGTCCTTCTG